GGTTCACTGGTTTACTGGCTCACTGGTTTACTGGTTTACTGGTTCATTGGTTTTCTGGTTCACTGGTTCACCAGTTCACTGGTTTACTGGTTCACTGGTTTACTGGCTCACTGGTTCACTGGTTTACTGGCTCACTGGTTTACTGGTTTACTGGTTCACTGGTTCACTGGTTCACCAGTTCACTGGTTTACTGGTTCACTGGTTTACTGGCTCACTGGTTCACTGGTTTACTGGTTCACTGGTTCACTGGTTCACTGGTTCACCAGTTCACTGGTTTACTGGTTCACTGGTTCACTGTTTCATATGTTCGCTTATTCGCTTATTATGTCATCCTTTCATCTTAAATCCTTTTTCATTAATTTATTTAACTTTTCGTGTATCCACTACTCTCCTGGACTAGAGACGGGTTAAAAAAAAACTCATGAAAAAGTAACCACATATCTTGAAAGGTGAATTTATTGAACTTTCAAAACCATTGAGCTCAAAATCGTATCTGTTCCCTACTATTCTAACACATTTTTAGATTACTTTTGTTGGTATTTTTACTCTCTTTTTTGTTTAAGCAGAATTAAATTAGTTTCTTTAATCCTTCACCATGTTGGTTGTACTGTGCATACAAAGAAGGTGAAATATGTTTTGGGAACTAGAGAATGAGTTCTTTCAGTTTAATGCATATTTACAAGCCATTTTTGTCGACAAAATTTATTTGTGATATACTGAGAGTGAGACATTAAATCTTTAATTCCATGATGGTTTCGGTTATAAGTTACAATGTTTGGATGAAAACCTCCATAGTTTAGATGATAAGCTTCTAGGTTTAGTTAATAAAATCCGTAGTTCAAGTGAACAATTACATCAAGACGAGTTTAGAGAACACACACGTTATATCAGCTATTCAGAATATACAACAGCCAGAGAAACAATGCATTGCTTTATTTTATAAAAGTTAAAAGAGAACACCTTATTCTAGACATACCTAACAAGAAATCAAAAGATGTAATTGAAGTTTTGAACTTAAACAATGAAGTTTTTATCTAAACCATGTAAGTTTGGACCAAGGAAATTATTTAATCTAAACATTAGAGTTCATCTAAACCATTGTGTCAGTCAGTCATTTAAACCATAGAGTTATTAATCTACACATTGGATTTTATTGCCTGAACCTTTGAGTTTAACATCCTAACCTAACCAGAACTAGGGTTTATATTAGCTAAACATTGGAGTTTATCTCCTGAACCATCAAAATCTTTTCATTTAACCCCGAGTTTTTCACTTAAACCTTAGAGTTTTTCTCTGAATCATGACATTTTTTGTTTAAACCATTGCAAATTTTCCTTTAAACCAGAAAGTTTTGCGCTTAAGCATGTAGTTCTCAGCTTAATCATGGAGTTTTTAGACAAAACATGAAGCATTTCGTTCAAACCAGGTTGTATCTCATTTAAACCATGAAGGTTTTCAATCAAACCATAGAGTTAGTATTCAAAAAATTATGTAGTTTTTTTCATTTAAACCATTAAGTTTTTCATTTAAACCATTGAATTTTTCGTTTAAACAATGGAATTTATCATTATAACCATGGAGGATATCATGTAAACCATTGAGTTTTTCATTTATCATTCAAACCATGGCATTATCTAAACCATGAAGCTTTTCCTTAACCATGAAGTTCTTCATTGGAACCATTTAGTTTTTCACTCAAACAATAAGTTTATCATTCAAACCATGAAGTTTATCATCTAAACATGAAGTTTATCATCTAAACCATGGAGCTTTTCCTTAAAACCATGAAGTTTTTCATTGGAACCATTGAGTTTTTCATTCAAACTATGAAGTTTATCAACTCAACCATAGAGTTTTTTTTTATTTAAACCTTTATCACCTAAATCTAATTACTAACTTGGGTTCTCTTTGTAGATTGATCTAAACTTCTGACAACTTAATAAATAAATTTTGTTTTCAGGCACTCTCAAGACAAAAATGGCTTGTAAATATGCATTAAACTGAAAGAACTCATTCTCTAGTTTCCAAAACATATTTTACCTTCTTTGTATGCACACTACAACCAGCATGGTGAAGGATTGATGAAACTAATCTAATTCTGCTTAAACAAAAAACGAGTAAAAATACCAACAAAAGTAATCTAAAAATGTGTTAAAATAGAAGGGAACAGATACGATTTTGAGCTCAACGGTTTTCAAAGCTTAATAACTTCACCTTTCAAGATATATGATTACTTTTTCATGAGCTTTTTTTAACCCGTCTCTGGTCTAGGAGAGGAGAACCTTTCATCTATGCATAAAGTTTAGAAATAAATTTTTTAATCCAGCGTTGTTTTAGTGAGGCTTGTTTAATCTCTATCCTATGGGTCCTGCACACCAGCTTCTCGTTGTACGTGTACTTAAAGCTGTACACGCAGGCCTTAGTCAGGATCATTAGAAACCTAGTTGGTGAGTACTGTAAATTTTTCAATCGAACAAAAGGAGAACAAACATGTCTCAAGGGTCTGTTCGCGTAATGTCAAGTGACCCATGCCACTGGCCTTCATGCATAGATACCAATGCCCGGTTAAAAATGGTATCTTTGAAACCTTTTCCTGATTTATCCCGTTTAAGGTATTGCCATTAATCTTAATTTTAAAATAATAACTCGTATATTATTCCTGCAGTAGAAATGCGCAAGTCACATCTTTTAAAGAGCCACATTAAAAAATAATCGGTTTTCAAAATTATAAACGTTGAGATATAATTCTTTTTTAATCTAACGAAGCTTTAAAAGCGTAAAGTTAGAAATCGGGGATTGCAATCTTTGCATTGAGGGTCGCTTGAAATTACTTTTAAACTGTCCAATAAATATGTTTATTGTATGTTTATTGATTGTAAATTTAAGATCATCAAATTATTATTATTTTAATTTACATATATTCATCTATAATGTAAAAATGTTATATTAGATAATTTAATTCAATCTGAATTTAGTTGGAAAACGATTAGATGAACTGCTTGAGATGAGAGAATGTTTATCTAAAATTCCAAACCATATAGCATTCATAGTACTAGGTAAGATACCCCCCCTGTAACGCCAACTAGAAATATTATCAGGCCCAATGGAATACGCCAATGTCTCTTTATGGGATTAAGAGCCTTATTGGTATGCATCAGGCACCTAAATATTCTAAGAACTTGTTAAAAAATCTATCAAAAAAGATAGAAAGACCGAAAATTAAATATCTTTTAATTCTATTTCTATGTGTCTTCACTCTTTAAAGATGCGTCTCAACTTCTCAACCGGTTGAATACCTTCATAAAAGTTTTTATTCTTCTGTATTTTGAAAATTGATCTAAAAAACTGACCCAAACAGTCAGCCTTGGTTTTAAAGACTTATACCAATATCATCAATGGCCTTTCAGGAAGGTATCAATTAATTACTTTACTTGACCCCCATTAATATTCAAACTTAGCATTGACAGTAAATTTAATGATTGGATTTAACGACTGCCAAAGTATGTCAAAAATACAATTTTTTTATTTTAAGGAAAATCCATAGAATTTTTTTCCTAGGATCTGAATTAAAATTTTTGTACGCATTATTTAAAGTTCAATTAAGGTACAGATATCGCTATTTTAGACTTATGAACTTTTAACAATAAATTAAAATGTGTGTAAGCTTAGGACCTTCTAAACCAGAAAAAAGTAATACAAAATTTTAGAAAGCTTCAAAAAGAAACAGATTAATAAAATTCCTTATATAATGTGAGATGTTCATTAAAGAAACTAAAATTAGAGTGATTGGAGAACAAGAAGAAAATCTGGAACAGGCATTTTGATATTTAATTTTTATTTAGAATATGATATCGATTACAGTGCAATGGCTAGTCTTGTTGTTTGGAGCTTAGGTAAACTATTTTATTTAGATTTACTGTTACAAAAAAAGCATAGTTTTGGAATAAATATGGTTGGGATTGATCAATTTTCTTAACTAATATTTGGTTTCATATTCTTTCCTAAACTATCTGTAGTGAGAACAGTGAAACTCTTGTTTTATTTTTTCTTTGCATATTATTTTTACAATTTTTTACATATTTTTTATTTTAACAATATTATTTAATAATTATATGAAAACANAATTTTCTTAACAAATATTTGGTTTCATATTCTTTCCTAAACTATCTGTAGTGAGAACAGTGAAACTCTTGTTTTATTTTTTCTTTGCATATTATTTTTACAATTTTTACATATTTTTTATTTTAACAATATTATTTAATAATTATATGAAAACAAATGCAAATATATTGACATTTTAATATTTCTTGTTCTTCCTTTTCTTCTAGTTCGTACATCTTTCATCAAATATTTTGGCTACATCTGAAAAAAAAATTGGGTATTTATAGCAATTGCCATGCTGCTAACTAAGCACTATGTTGAAAGGATGCTGCTTTCTTTTTTTTCTGCATTGTTTACACATGTGTTAGGTCTGACTCAGCAGCACATAATTCAAACACATATTCCTGTTGTATCTTCTATTTAGGGAGAAATGGAGGGGGGGGGGAATTATCCTAGCCCCATCTCAAATGTTTTCCCTATTTGCCAACGGATGATTTGATGGTGTAAAGCCTATCATCATAGATTTCCCTTCCATTTTTCCTTTTCAATTTTCTTCTTGTTTCTTGTTTCTATGTTTTGAGGCCTGTCCAAATAGTTCTTGTGACATTAAGTTGTGGAGCAGGTAGAAAAAAGAAGTTTAGAGGAGGAAGGGTATGAGGGATTTCAGTAAGAGCTCCATGCTTTCCTTCGTGTTAAAGTCTTTCCGACTTAAGCGGAATTAAGGGAACCCATAACTGCACCACTTATGCAAAATGGGGATTTGAAAGCCTTAAAGCCTCATCAGGTGGAATCTTCCACAGTAGTCCAGTTCTCACAGCTGACCGAGTAAAAACCGGTATCTTGTGCAAGGCTTGTATACTTATCAGGGGTTATACTTCTGTGTGAGATGTTGTACCAATTTATACAATACAATATGAAATATAGTGAGGAATTTGTTATTTTGAACTCAATTATATTTAAAAATGGGCTCATTTACAATTCACAATTTCTTTAAACTGAACAGTTAACAGTTTTTACTTTATAATATACAGGTTTTTTACTTTTTAATATACATGTTTTTACTTTATAATATACTGGTTTTTACTTCATAATATACAGGTTTTTACTTTATAATATACATTGTTAGTTCCACATTTATTGAAAATATATTTCGGTCTGGGTTGACCCTCGTCAGTTCAAACGATATAATAACCATCAAAATCGATAAAAAAAAAATTAATTGTTAAAAGCCACAAGAAAATAAACAAACAAAAAAGATTATTTAAAAAAAATTTGGGCTGTCAAATGAACAATAAGGGAAACGAACTCAGATTATGAGAGGGAAAAAAGGTAACTTGTAAAAATCTGTCAATTTCAGCGATATCATCAAAGGGAATAATTTGGAGAATGAGACGCAAAACTTATTAATCATTATAACGTTTTAATTTAAAATATGCGTTTTTTTCACAAAATGATTTTTTACCTTCCTTAATGTAGAGCCTTAAAAAGAAATTTCTATCTGACCTTGATCTTCCACAAAAAATAATACTAATTAAAGTGGGATGTCCGATTGACAACGGTACCTTTAAAACCTTTATCTGAGTAGCACTGAGGAAGATAGATACGAACGCTTGTCTAAGTGTGTACCGTGTTCTTCTATGTCACTGCAGAATAAGTCTACCAGTCACTTTTAGAGGAAACCAAAATTTAAGATTATCAATTTTTAGCGAGAATAATTAGGATATTTCATTCTTAGCTTTGAATCAGACATGTACATTATACAACATATAGGTTCACTTCAAATACGACTACAGTCCCTTTACAAACAGTGACACAGTGTCTTATTACTAGGATCAGTCAGTTATCCTGTACAGTAACGGAGCTATGTACCCGGATGAGAACGGGAACGGACGGATCAGAATTAACGGTGGGACGGAGGAGGAGAAGAGAGGAGATGAGGATGGATTAAAGGAGAGAAGAATAAATATCTCGTTGCTTTGCAGACAGGACGGGAAACCTGATATCTCTAGGTAATGAAAAATATTAAAACTGACGAAAGAGACTGTGAGTGTAATTTCAAGTCACCCTTCATTGAAACTGCAAAGATGGCATTGCTCGATAAACATCGGTACCCTTGAAAGCTTTGCCAAATCAAGTAAGAATTAGGTATCAATGATTATAATTTTTATTCAGAAATTACTAGTTCCCAGTTTTGAATCTACGTCAAAGTATGAGAAAAACAAATGGATTTGGTTGCATATTATTTTTTTATTCTTCTCTAAGACTCTCCAGAAAGAGGAGCTATGATTGAAAGCGAGATAATTTTTAAATTCGGCGAATTTGATTGATTTTTTCGTAAATCCACGAGTTTCCTTAGAAACCCGAAGATTTAGGTATTAATTTGGCAACATTCCCTTTAATGACTGAAATGTCTAGGTGTGCTGGAAGGTTGAGTGAGATGGTTCTACGGAAAGAGCTCCAAGTTTGTGATATAACTGAAGATCTTGTTAGTTCTAATCTTCAATCAAATCCTCTTCTTCCTGATCCTAGTCTCGTGGTCAGATTAGGAATATTACAGAGGTCAGTAGTTCGTAATCTTTTCTTATACAACCTGTACAGTACAGTACAGTACTGTACTGTACTGTTCTGTACTGTACTGCACTGTAATGTACTGGACTTACCGTACTGTTTTTTACTGCATTGTTATTACAGTGCTGTTTGGTACTGTACTCATTTGTATACAATGCTTCTATTTAACTTTAAATTGTTGCTCTATCTGCGGCTATTCATAAACCTTCCCTGGGGTCACGTAAGGTCCAACAAAAAATGTTGGCCCAATTGGTTCAGCGGTGTCTACCATTATTTTTGTTACAAACAAACAGACAAGCAAAGTATATTTATAGATGTTAGTAAAATGCTACGTTCTTACCTTGATCTTCTTTATTTTAGTAATGCTGAGTTCTTACCCTGGCAAATTCGTCTCAGTGAAATACATTCCATTGAATCTTGTATAGGTCTATCCATACATCAGTTTACAGGTAGATAGATAGATAAATTTAAACATATCCACCTCCTCCTCCCCCCCCCAAAAAAAATATTAAGCTGAACATCTTGTCAAATTCCATTAATCCTTCCTTGATGAAGTGACAATTTTAAGATTTAATATTTTCAGATGTGATCCGTAGATTCAGTAAATGTGAACAGAGGTTTGGAAAATAGGTCGTCTTCCAATTCACAATCTGGGCTCTCTCTCACTCTCTCACTCTCTCTCTTGTTATGTGTTTACACTGTAAGAAGATCCTTAAAGCATCACGTCACCAAAACCGGTTTTATAAACCAACCTCGAGATTAGAAATTGTACACTCTGTACAGTGTATAGAGTATCTCAAACTGGTTAATATCTTCTTAAAAAGATGAGCTTTGTGAATTAATCTTTTCCTTGTGTTCTATTTTGTTACCAATAATAATATTAATAATTGCGGGAAATCCCTTAATTTCTAGATTGCAGACTTGAGCTCACTAATTTATTCAAGTTCGTCTATTTCGAGGCAAAAAAAAATTTGGCCAAAGACTATGATAAATGCGCGATAATTCTAATAATTCATTTTAAAATTTGTGTCTCATTAAAAGTTTTTTTTTTCAAACAAATAGCGATCGATTCGTTAATTTAAACTCTGTAATAGTTAAATCGATTTGTAACAAACCATTACTGAAATTAAATTTGATTTTTTTATATCAACCCGTTATTTTTAAGAAGGGGCACAAACTTGATACAGCTCTGATCTTTTTATTTTTTTACCTTTATCGTGATAATTTTTTTCTGAGTGATAAGTTCAGGGGTTTATATATTTTTCATAATAATTTTCCTGCCGATTGCTGCTGTTTTTCCTCACAAAGTTAATATTCAGCATAAAGAAAGAAGAAATCTGTTTTGAGATGTATATATACCCCTGTGGAATATGTACCACGAGGGAGGGGGTGCAGGACCGCCATATGCCCCGCAAAATGGTCTCCAAGCCTCCGTATTTGCAGATGAGTATTTAAAATGACCTGGCGCTACCCCTAAACCTTAATATAGATATTATAGAAGTAATAAACAACTTTTTTCAAACAAATTTGTAATCTTTAAATAGTTAAGCAGTGTTTTCTTGAATATCCAAAATCATTGCATGACTATTAAAAAATTAAATATTTTTTCACAAATGTGTTTACATTACTTCTATATCTATTCTAAAGGATAGGGGTAGCGACTAGCGCCATGTTATTTACCTGCAAATCCAGAAGCTTAAAAAATATTATTCAGTGCTCATGGCGTCCCTGCACCCCTCCCTTAGTACCATTAATTTGTTTTTTTGCTGAGGTTTAGCTCATGTTGTTGCAACGTTGTTTATGTTTTCAGTAAAATGTCCGGCGATCTTGAAAGTTTTGTCAATAGACCTGTTTCTGTGATCACAGCAGACGGCAGGATATTCATAGGTAAACTTCGTTTTTTAACGATAGTATATTTTTATTTAGTAACTGACATTTATTTACTTCAACAATTAGTTTTTTTAAGTTATTTATAATCACAAGTAATTTGATAAGTACGACAGAATATGTCAGAAAAGTTTTACTGTAAAATTATATGGCATGTATAGAAGAACTTGTACTCTAATAATAAGCCATTATGAATACTCGCCTACAATGCAATTTTTCCCCACTTGGGGAAAAGTTATTATTTTCCTTTTAACGTTTGAACTGAAAAGACGAATTTTGAAGAAATCTTCCAATATAATTACAGAGTAGATAATGAGGGTAAATTGAACTAATCGATTCTACCGTGGCTTTCATTTGTTTCTATACAGTATACATGGCATTAGTTCACTGTGAACTTTTTACATTTTGATAAAGATATATATGTATTAAAATGTTTTTGTTACTGATACTAAATACTAGCTCGGGAGCCCAGTGCTGCCCAGATTACTCATAGTTAATCCTGCCGTTTACCCGCACTTAGTTAATTTTATCCGGAAACTAAATTTTCGCCAAAAAGTCGTAACACTCATCATAGAATCTAAAAACCAAGCTTAGAAATTTCCGTGGCTCTCCCGAGTTCTTCAATCAAAATTTTGAGGCAAATCGGTCCTGGGTTTCCTGAGATATGCTTGGACAAACAAACAGACAGACAAACTGAGATTATATATATATGGATATGATAATCTCAACCAATGAATTGTTAAGGTACCTTGAAGGGGTTTGATCAGACGATAAACCTTATCCTTGATGAGACTCATGAACGGGTTTACTCTACTTCACAGGGAGTCGAGCAGGTGATAACTAGATTAGCAATCCAGAGCCCGAATTCAAGTAATTTGATCCCCGTCTCAAGTTTGAGACGCGGTTCCACTTTAAATTGTATTTAGTGTTTCGAGATTTGAGTCGGCGCTCTATTGGAGCCGGTTTTTGGCGGTTTAAATTTTTTTTTAATTCGGCATCTGTAACAAATCCAGTTCTCATTGATTTAGGATTTCTGTGATACATAATATTGGTATCAAGTTGAGGATTAAGTTTTAAGAACAAGCATGGTTTTAAGTTAGATCAATTTAAGAATCGAATAATATTCATTAAATGATTAGGTTAAATTTTGATGCATGAAGTACAATAAATAATATGATTAAGGGTGTCCTGGGGTTTATATTGTCCTGGAGATAATACAAGTCTATAATCAATATTATTTAGGTTATCCTGGGGTTTATATTGTCCTGGAGATAATACAAGTCTATAAACAATATTATTAAGGTTGTCCTGGGGTTACATATTGTCCTATAGATAATTCAAGTCTATAAACAATATTGTTTAGGTTGTCCTGGGGTTACATATTGTCCTGGAGATAATACAAGTCTATAAACAATATTGTTTAGGTTGTCCTGGGGTTACATATTGTCCTGGAGATAATACAAGTCTATAAACAATATTATTTAGGTTGTCCTGGGGTTACATATTGTCCTGGAGAAAATACTTGTATTCAAACAATAAAATGCTAGTATATAAACAATATTATTTAGGTTGTCCTGGGGTTACATATTGTCCGTGGAGACAATATTTGTGTTGTTGGAGAAATTGACGAAGATCTGGATCAGAGATTAGGAAAGTGTACTGCAAAGTGTACTGCAAAGTAAAAATGTAAACAAACGCCAAAAAAGTTGTTTATTTTCAATTTTCATATTTTATCTTTTATGAAGGAGTGAATATTTTTTATATTGCCTGGGCAAAATATGAGCTTTTTAAGTGATTGGATGAAGGTAAAATTGGACTGTGTTACCCTGTTTAAAGCATGTCTTCAGTCATTGCTTTGGGGGAGGGGGAATTATTTGAAATAGGGGGAAACATACACATCCCCTACGGTTTTAGCGTCATCTTCTTTTCTGCTATTTTTAACAGTATACTGTTCAAGACCTAGCTAATATTAAAGCTGATCCCATCAATCCAATCCCTCACTCCGTTGTCCAGTAGGACGGATCCTCATCTACTCCTTGGATCCCTAGGTATCCAACTCTGAAGGCTGTTATTAATGTATGACCGGCATTTCCTGCTCTCTGTGAAATAATGTATCAATAAACGTTTTTTAAGTCTGAATTCTTGATTTCCTTATTTACTAGGTTCTTCTTTTATCTTCTTTTTCAACTTTAAATTGTGGCGCTATCTGGGAGTATCTTCTCTGTGTTCAATATATAACAATAATAAAAAAGTAATTGTTTTCCGCATTTCCAAATAAAACAGAAATCAAAAACTTTTTGCACACAAGCTATGGTAATTTTGAGCATCCATAAACTTTTTCTTGGGGCATGTGAGGTCCCACACATAATTTGGACTGCAGTGCTTCAAGAGATCATTTGTGGATGCGGATCCGGTGTTTAAAATATCCGGCTTTAGCTCCTGAATTTTACTTCAAAATGTTGTCAAGTTCTTCTTTTTCCTCCTTGATTTAAAACTTGTGAGCAAAAATAAATTCCGATTATGTGATTGATAATTCGTCACTTGGATCCGGATTGGTATATCCGCATATTTTTGAGGATCCGGATCCAGAAAGCCAAATTGTTCCGGGTCCGGATCTCAAACACTGGGAACCAGAGGGCCCTGAAAAGCTCAAGAGCATTAAAAAAGATATTTCTAAATGAAGATGGGCAAGAAGCATTCTGAATTCCTCAGTATCAGATATCTGAATTCCTCAGTATCAGATATTGATATTACTGTATATGTGTATAGGCCCGGAGATATTTAAACAGATTTAAGATTATTAATTCTCTACGATATATTACTGCGTATCCTAGAATTTGTGTTTATACGTAAACCTAAAACTTATCGAATTGCGTTTAACTTAAAGCATTGCCGACAAGGTTACGCATTATCTGGGAAAACATTGCGTCAGAAATGGTACGCAAACTAGTAACTTCTAGACGAATAGACGCCTATTTTCGTATTCTCAAGGTCAATATTTTAAGGGGAGGGGATGGGGGATAGGAATTCTACCTTTTATTAAAATATTTCTTCTATTTCACCATTATCTCAAGTGTACTCTTATCACACCTTCTACTGTACTACAGGGAGAACCAGAAACACTCCGGAATAGGAAGACGACTTCCAGAATTAATTTATGACTTTAATTAGTCGAATAAACATAGGACACTGCTATTGTGCAGCGTAAACAGCTTCATTTAATACATAATTTAGTAAAGACACTTGAAAACTATTTAATCATTTAATTTAAAAACATCAAATACCTTTAGTATTGCTTTACATTTATCATTTTATTATATTTGTCTAAAGCAAAATTACATTCAACAATATATAAATTTACAATTTAATACTAATACTCTATTCTCTGGATATCGCATTTTATGATTGACAGGGTTTGCCAAAAAACAGGTGCCATACAAGACTGAACAACATGAGTCTAGTTTAGTTATTCAGAGATGGATTTCAGAAATGGAGTTTTGGTCTCTGTTTAGTGTTTTTCGTTTTATAAAAATGTAGTATGATTGCACTGCAAGGCTTGATTTTCAGAAATGGAGTCTCTTGGTTTCTGTTTAGTGTTTTTCGATTTTTAAAAATGTAGTATGATGACAGTAATGCAAGGTTTATAGATTTTCGCACATTGCTTTGAAACTAACACTGGGTTTACAGAACTAATAGAGTTTCTCTAGATTTGCTATATTTGATGGTGAGATATAATCTTTTGAGCCGATTTCAAAAGGTTGAACAGACACATCCCTAGACGTTATATCTGTGATAGAATGTTCTTATGTGTTCATCTTTTATATATAATGTCGTCTTCCTATTACACAGCTTTCTGGTCCTCACTGTACTATACCCCTTTCTAAATACGCTCATAATAATTTAGTTTCCCGGTAAGAACGACCAAGTGCGGGTCAACGGGGGAGTAACTATCAGCACCCTGGGCAACGCTGAGTTCTCAAGCTAGTAACATATAAAGTTGAACGCCTGTGAACATGAGAAACACTTATTATCCTTAATTACTGATATCAAAAAATTCAATAATATAACGTTTACAAAAACAAAAAGTTGTAAAACATATTGAATACGTATTTAAACAAATTAAAACCTTAAATTACATAATTTATAAATGTTAAAGTAAGAACATGGTTATATATATTATATAAATAACAGAGTGGCTCAAATAACAGGGTCTTTAAGCGTCTTTAAGCCCCAAAAATGACTCGAAAATGTGCACTAGGGTTTCTGTGATTCAAGATGTATTCGGATTCCTAAACCTTGAACTCTATGAAGAGAACCCTAAAAAGAGAGGTTGCATAAATAGTCTATTTTTTGCATGGCATCAAACTGGGGCCTCTTATAGAAATAGTTTGAAACATAAACATCATAGTAATCTGATAAATTATTCTATTGTATTTCTAACCATATTTTTTTTTCTCTGCCTTATAGATTTGAATAATTTTAGAACATTCGACATCCTTGTACGCCAAACTGAAGTATCAAACGACAAAATGTTTATTAAACGACCCCTTCTAACATTATAAATATACACTGGAGCACTTTTTCAATTCATTTTAAAGGATTCAGGGACATAAAAACTTTTCACTGGAACACTTTTTCAAGTCATTTAAAGGATTCATGGGCATAAAAACTTCACACTGGAGCACTTTTTCAAGTTATTTAAAGGATTCATGGGCATAAAAACTTTACATTGGAGCACTTTTTCAAGTCATTTTAAAGGATTCAGGACATAAAAACTTTACACTGGAGGACTTTTTCAAGTCATTTCAAAGGATTCAGGGACATACAAACTTTACACTGGAGCACTTTTTCAAGTCATTTTAAAGGATTCAGGGACATAAAAACTTTACACTGGAGCACTTTTTCAAGTCATTTTTATGGATTAATGAGTTATAAAAACACTGATAATTGTTTTTGGGTGCCACCATGTATGAGTTTATAAAACCTTGTGCTGCTGCAGTGAACCATTGATGTGAGAAAAGTATTTGAACAGACGTCTCTGAAGTCTCGTTCATTGTGGGTTTCCCTGTATCTGTGAAACAATACTTAAACATGTGTATATATGTTATAATAAATGGTGTATTTGTAAAGAATATTGTATGAATAATACTGCTCCAGTTCCCTGGGAATATTTTACACTTTTTTAAAATTATAAACCACAATATTTCCGTATAGTTTTGTTTTACGCATTCATCCAACCAATACCCTGGACCTTACTCCCTTGTAAAAGTGTAATTTGCAGGACAAAAGCAGGAGCACATTAAAATACCATCCTTTATCTAAAAATGATTCAAAACTTTATAATTTCTTTCTAAGATTCATGATCCATGTATGTTTGCGCTAATTCAGATACCCTTCCCCCCTTTTTACAAATAGTTGTTCTTCGTGTTTTTTTTAAAAAGACACAAAAGAGATCGTTTTCTTTTCTTTTTTGTTTGTTCCAAAAACGATCGTACCGTTTTTAGAAAAAAAACGATTGGTCACAACTAACGAACCACTCGTTTCGAACTTTTCAACAACGATCGTTTTTGAAAATTATTTTGAAAATTATTTTGTGAATAAATCTGAGTTTTAATGACAATTAATCCAAATTTTTTTCATGAAGATTTGTTTATAAATGTTGTCTTAAATGTTTTTTTTTTATCGTGAGAAATTACCTGAATGTTTTCTGACCTAAGGTTTTTCTGATCTAAGGGTTTTCCGACCAAAAAATGTATTTTGTCTAAAAAAGGTCGTTAACGAAGGGTCATCGTTATAACGATCGTGAAAAATCAAAAGCGACCTAACTTTCGAAACGTCTAACTGAAAGTAAAACTTAAAAACGACTTCTTCGTTTTTGGTTTTTTCTTTTCGTCATTTTTGAAAAAAAAACTATCTTTTTTTTTAAAGTGAAAATAATCCAACCCACTTTAACACACTGGTAGCGCCTCGGCACATCCGTCTAGCTGTTCTTATTAATATACGTACTCTTAGGATAGTTAGAAAGATAGATAGAAAGATATCATATTAAATTCTAGGTATAAAATTATCCCCCCAGCTACAATGGGATGTCTTAAAATATTTAAGTCGTACAAGAAATGCCTGATATATGAATAATAGTAAAAGTGGAACACTAAATCAGTGTTTTAAATCCTCTTAAGAAACTTTTCTACAAACCTAATTATTTTGGCCTAGATTCTAGACAATATGTATTGTATTCTTGATATTCTTGGAATTATTTAACTCTTCAATATGCCATGGTTTGATGAAGTATAGATGGATAGGGAGGGAGGGAGGGAGAATGTGGATACAAATAGGATTGAGAAATGATGGGGTGGTGGGGGGGGAAGGCAAATGCTGAAAAGTGGAAAGAGGAAGAGAAGCGAATGAATAAAGGGAAGGAGGAAAGAGGAAGGGATATGGATGAATAAAGGGAAGGAGGAAAAAGGAAGGGAGGCTGATGAATAAAGGGAAGGAGGAAAGAGGAAGGGAGGCTGATAAATAAAGGGAAGGAGTAAAGAGGAAGAGAGGTGGATGAATAAAGGGAAGGAGGAAAGAGGAAGGGAGGCTGATGAATAAAGGGAAGGAGGAAAGAAAGTAGATGGATGAGGGAAAGGTGTTTTTTTTTGTAAGTATGGCAGGGGGAGGAAGATGAAGGTGTTGAAAACAATTTAATGTTTGATCCTTTTCTAATTCATGATGGATTAAAAACAACCTCATCATGAATCTAATTCAGTAAATTGGAATCCTATTTAATTTCTTTTCTCTTGGTTTTCTTACAACTTTAATATCAGCATCAAATATTTGTATACCCGTACACACAGTACAACAAGAACAACAGAACAAGAAGACGGCTCTTTGACTCAAGTTAGGACTTTTTCAGGTTAAAACATTTATTTAAAAATTTCAATAGCGCCAGCTTTGGTAATCTCAGCGTTAACTATAAATGCTTTTACACGTGACAGATTTACAGAAATACGTATTTCTAACAAGAGTGATAGATGGGCGAACCTTAGGAATACCAAGAAACGAATATTTCAATAAATGAGATCAGAATTGAACAAGATACAGATCATGAAGTGAGAATTTCTGGATTTTAGCTTCGTTACAAAGCTTCATAG